GAATCCTGGGTAATGCGAATACCTTGTCTGAAAATGTTTTGGAGAAGATACAACATGGATCTCTTGACTTTGCACTGCTTGCCAATACCCTTAAATCCAGTTTAATAGGTTTCGGAAAACACACACACACACACACACACACACACACACACACACACACACACACACACACACACACACACACACACACACACACACACACACTGAGTTAAAGGACGTTTGGAGGTGATAGTGTGAAACACGATCTAGTCTGAGCTGCAGACTGTCCTCCGCTCTGAAAGCAGCTTTGTTCTCCTGATGAAGCCTGGAACCTCCTTCTCCTACTGCAAAATGCGACATTAGAGATTAGATAAATAATGAAGACAATGCATCCATCCACATACACTGTTCACACAATGGATTTAAACACTGTATTTTAGCCTGAAGTGATGATGAAAACTGTATCTATTTGCAATACTTAATATAGTTTTTTTCTTGATTTCTGGTGTCACACAATTATTTTTCACATTGAACATACAGACATTAAACCCACATGACATATTTTTAGAATGACTATCATGACATCTTACCAAGTAAACAAGACAACATCCTTACTCAATTAATATGCTCGTCTATACATTGGTTAATTTTAGTTTCACCAGTATAGAAGAGTTGTTTAAATCAAGCTACATCACTGCCTCGCTATACTGAGCTTTTGACCTTGGCCTGTGACCTCCTCGTTTCATTAAAAGTGTTGACAAGTTGATCATGCAGCATATCTCTTCCCAGAAAAGCATAAGCATGAAGGAGGGCCCATTATGACCAAGACAGGCGTAAATGTTGCTTCTATTCAACGTGTAGTTTAAGAGCTGCTTCTAATCCTGCTGGAGATTGGACACGAGTTGAAAAGATCGATGTTTGCTGATGACAACGGAAACTAATTCCATTTCCTTGAAAGGTAGGCTTTCCTTTTTACTGCATGTAGCAGGAATAATGAAAAAACACTTATTTGTGGGTAAGCCTTTTTGTATCAGTTCCCTTTTAATCTAACGGCACCAAATCCCTTGCATTTTGATTATTCAGCGCTTTCATTTCAGTTTTTTTGCGGTACTCATCACAGGATACAATTCCAACGTGTTACTTTAACATGAAGACATACAAATGCATTGCTTAATAAAAATGTATACATTCTGGATAACTGGGATTTATTTTCAAATCACTCTGAGGCACATGTTACTTTGTGACACTTAGATCAATGTCTTCTTGCTTATTATGCCTCCCATTTAGCTACTCAATCTTTTTTTTTAATACTTTAATGTGCCTACATTCCTGCAGATTTGATTTGAAATATCTTTTGGCAACTCATGAAATCAGCAATCTGCAACTCAGGAATAAAGTCTTAATTTTCCTCTGAGTGGTTGTAACATGTTAGAAGGAACAATTCAGGTATTAAAGCTAAATGATACAATAGCAAACCAAAGTTTAATTCCTGCAGAGACAGTGGTATTACCTTTGAGATGAACCTTTTTCTTACAGTCTCCTCTCTCTTCCAGTTGCAGTTAGCTAAGCGTCCAGCAGAGGTCAGCCATGTCACACATCAACACAACAGAGCTGCAGTCGCTCCTGCTCTCATTCCTGCAGCACTGCCTCAACAGCACAGGCATGCTGTCTCCACAGCTGCCTCAGAACTACACTACCCAGCAGGCTGTGCACGAAGGGGCTGGAGCCGGAGCCAGGGCCAACGCTCAGTCTCAGGGCATGCTGTATATCCTGCTGGTGGTTGGCATGTTCAGCTTCTTCACATTCGGCATCATGCTAAGCTACATTCGCTCCAAGAAGCTTGAGAGCTCTCAAGATCCGTACCACCAGTACATCGCCCACGACTGGACCAAGGTGGTGTCTCGGTCCAGGGCCGTCGCCCAGGCGCTGCACAGGGAAGCTGCAGGAAACGGAGCCAGAGGCAAGGAACCCATCGTCATCTGCAACCCTGCAACACTGGAGCAGCTGCCAGACTAGAATGAGACATTTAGCTATTTAAACACTTCCCACGTCAAACATCTAATACACTGTAACACTAGATTTTTGACCACCTTAACTTTTAATGTCACATAGCACTAGGGCTGTGCGATTATGGCAAAAATCATAATCACGATTATTTGGGTCAATAATTGATATCACGATTATTTTGACGATTATTCATTGACCATTTATTGAACTTTAAAACAAATAAAATTTTACCAATAAACAAGATCAACAAATATGTTGGAGCGCACTTCCAAAAATCATACTAAACATATATTAATATGATAAATAAAAATAAATTAGACCAAAATAAATTAAATCAAATATGTTGCAGTGCACTGTCACAACCTACTGAAAACTCCTTAACATAGCCAACATTTTGGTAAAACATATTCAACAAATTCCACTCAGTTAAACGTTGAAGGCTGGCCAACCGTCATGGTCCAGAAGTAACAGGAAACAAATGTTGAACTACAATTTAAGACCAAATAAAAATGTTTGGCCACCATGGCAAATGCTGGTAGGGCTGCTCATGTCATCTCTTAAATATGTTTTGCAAGGAACACCAGCCTGTTCACATGGTCTGGCTTCAGAGATGAGCGCAGGCAGGTGACAATAGTGCCACCTGTACTGAAGACCCTCTCTGAAGAGGAACTTGTGGCAGTGCTGCCACATATGATGACACAGGAAAAAAAGAAAAGACTCTGAACCCTTTCTTTGCCATTATATAAAAATAGTGTTGCTACAAAAGTATAAATTAGGCTTACTAATAAGACAACTCAGATCTGAAGCTACACAGGAATCTGCTGCCAAAGTGCAATAAAAAAGACAAAATTAATAGAATCAAACCCATTTTTGTTGCATTTTATTTGAGTATAAAAAGAAATGCCTTTAAAATAGGATACAAGCAACACTAGTTTCTTAACCTGAATTGATAATAGACTATAATCAATTTAAACAGAACAGATCTTAATGTTTGCATTCTTATACCATTTTGTACAATAATTATAATGAAGAAGTTCAAACAAACTAAAACTTACAGCTGATAAATAACGGTATCTAACTTGAGTTTTTATTATATCAAAAACCTGTTGAAATGCGAACTGTCTATTGCTACTGTCCCCAAAAGCGCCTCGCCAGCCTCCATGCTTCTTTCACAACTTTCGCCGTCTTTGAAAGAACTTCATGTGTTTCGCAAGAAACGGACTGACACGATAAGATGCATGTAGCAGCCTTTGCTCTTGTTGTTGGGCCGGTGAAAAATGGACTGCGTGCATTTTAGCTGTCCTTTTCAGGTTCCTCACTTCTTGGGAGCGTAGGGGCAGAATTAGGAGGGAATTCCGTCTCGTAAGCATTTGTGCACTGTTTTGAAATGCCGCTCTAATTACCCTTCTTCGATAAAGCCCACGCTCGATTGCAGATGAGACAAGATGGACTTTGAAATTGGAATAGGATACAAAAATAAATCATCCTCGCCCACTCGTCTTTTTTGCTTCCTGCAATAATTGCGGTCTTGTGTGTGTGCGGACTGTCACTCCTGTTGACACGGACAACGTCAGCGAAATAGTGGCCCACTGGCCCACCAGCCACGCCCCGACCATAATGGGGGTCACACCGCCAATCACAAAGCCTCTGATGCGTCCAAGTGCATTATTCTGGCACAGGAAGATTAATGTTATAGGACATTAACAATAAAACTGAATATTGTTGCTCTATTTTTAGACACATCTCGCGATCGGACTGGGAATCTCCCCGCGACCCTTCTTTTTAACGAGTTGCTGCTCTTGTTCTGACATCTTCGCGTCGCGCTGAACACTCACAACACATGTCATCCCGACGTGGCCGAGTGGGGCTTTTAGGGAGGGCGAAAGCGCACCGAGCAAAATAATCTATTTTGTCAATTGTGCTGTTTTATAAATCGTCGCAAGCCATAATCGTAATCGCGATTAAATAAGATTAATTGCACAGCCCTACACATGGGCGTAATTTCCACTGGGGACAGGGGGGAATGTTCCCCCCACTTTCAAAATACCCATTTGTGTCCCCCCACTTTTCACATTTTTTTTTTTACGCAAGTGGTCATCGTCCACGGAGGATGCCGTCCTGTGTGTGTGTGTGTGGCAGGAGCGCATTTTGTGTGAGAGAGAAGAGCAGAGAGGAGACAGGGAGAAGACAGGGAGAGGACAGAGAGAGAGAGAGAGAGAGAGAGAGAGAGAGAGAAGAGAAGAGAGAGAGAGTTACGGGGGTTGGGTTGTTAGCATCTGTTGCTAGCTCGGAGATTAGATTATAAAGCTGGTTTCAACAATAGGAGAGGGAGTCCTCTCCTGAAATCGGACTGAGAGGCTGAGATATACATCAGCTCAGGGAGGTAAATGGACTCGCTGAGTGATTATATTGTACTACTTTAGTCTAAGTTATCTCCAGTGGGTCTCCCAAACGGTTTTGGTCTAAACCAAATATTTCCATCTATTTAATATAGTTGTTAAAAATAAGTTAAAAAGTAATTCCAATGTCAGTAAAAAATTAAAAACACAGTTTGAGAGGGGAGTGATTAGTAAAATATGCATAAATAAAAAGAAAGAATGCAGACTAGGTAAGATAAAGATAGGAGAGAGGAGTATATCAATGATGTGTTATTGGTTGTGAGCATATTCTAATAGTTTTTGGAGTATTTAAAATATATACAGTTCTGTTTCATATGAGTGTTGAGAGCTGCTCCATACACCTCTTAATTTGTGCACCAGATTGATGCTTTTAACTTCAATTTAAAGAAACAAATCTTACCGGGGGTGCATGCCCCCGGACCCCCCTATAGGATGTGAGGTCATCACAAATAAAACAGGTTCATGGATAGATACATTTGCACACTCATTATACACTACACATTTTTCTTGGATTAGTTAACACCATAGTCCCTAATATATTTTTGTAGAAAGGCAGGAAATGGAATTAAATCGAGAACAATGTTTCATTGCGGAGGACCCCCTGTTTTGTGTCCCCCCCACTGGGTGTAACCAAAGTTACACCCTTGCCTACATAGCACCACAATTTACAGTGTTAGGTGTTTTTTTTTCAGATTAGTAATTTCATAGAATGTACCTCATGCTCTTTATCAACACATGCAGTTCCTCACATTTTACAGTCACATTCCCATGGTGGCTCAATACTGCTTTGCCAATATCACTTGATGACAATCCAGCATATCTGCACAACAGCAGTGACACAGGCACAAATTGGTGACAGAATCGTTTCTGATTGCATACTGTAAGTGTCTCTAAAATATTACCCCTATTGATTTTACATATTTTTTCTGTTTCGTTTGATTCAGAGTTTTAGTATTTTAATCTGAGAAAGTTCCTCATCCAACACAGCAGGCCTTGCTGTTTTGTGTTTTGAGGTTTAGTTACTGCGTTGGATCTTTTTTTCTCTTCCTTCCACCTCTCTTGCTCCTTTTCTCTCTCTCTCTCTGCTGGTCCAGTCTGTGTTGGTGTTCTCCTTTCACAGCTCGGTCAATCTCTCGTGATAAACTGAAGTGAACCATTTGCATGTTGAGCATCGGAACAATGAGGTTGTAATCGTCCACCATCTTGTTAAGTTTCACTAAATCCCCCTCTGCGGATTCACACAGCTGCTCCCATTTGCTTTGCTCTTTAGGAGCCAATGGGTCACCAAGCCTGGCTCTCTCCTCCAATAACTCATTTCGGATCTCGGCGATGGTCTCTCGGATGTCGCGTTGAGGGGCTTGTCAGCTCCACTCAAGTTTCTAAAGTCTCCTCGTGCCATGGACTCCTGGATCATGTCCTCCACAAGCCGCTCGATCTTTCGGCTCCGCTGACGTATGTCCCGTTCTATTAGCGCCCCCTCTGCAGCGGCTGCCCTCTTGTGCTCCCTCTGCCGGTAGTTGAAAACCGGCTCGGATGCCCGGTCGACACGAATCTGTCGATACTGGCGCTCACGCTGGCTGGGCGTGCCTGAACCCAAACCCTCGTAGCTGAGGTAGTGTCTGTGGGGAAATGCTTTACCTCTTGAATTATCTTCATCCTCCACTTGCTTGCCTCCATCGGTGCGATTGGTCTTAGTCTGATGGGCCAGAACGGCACGGTAGGCCTCTTCAACTCGAGAACAAAGCATTGCATCTACTTTTAGCCTTTGGATGTTTTATGAATCTGATAGTTGGGTTAACTTTAAAATTAAATCTATTTTGATTTGATTTGGTGTTAACTGCGTTTTGATCTGTCTGCAAACAGAATTGGGGGCAATAAATAAAGATTGATTGATAAAGGGTAACTCAATGTTTTTCACCTATCCTTATAATGAATATCCCTATTTTTAACACATTTATAATATTGGTAATACATTTTGAAATTGTATGCTTCACGTAACCCTTGTGTTTTTATTAACTTGATATCCTCATTTAATGTCATGTGGCCTCACAGACCCTGCTGTATGTGTGAACATGATTGCAAAATAAATAAATGTTTTCCCTTTTACATGTTGTTAATCTCTTTTGAATTTATATAAATCCTAAATGATCGAGATGATATGTCTTTGCCATAACCAACGTTAACGTTAGCTTTCTGAGCAGTCAGCTCTAATAGTCAAATAACTACACTGAGTTTTGGTCATAACTTTTCATACAAGATCACACAGTTGTGTTGCAGTGTCATCATGAGAAATCCAGAACAAGTCTAAAACTAACTTGAACGACTCACTGACACAAATCACAGTAAATGCCTCTCACATATCCACATTAATAACTATTATATGACAACAAAGATACGGTTTACGTTGAAGGTTGATTCACTGCTAGCTAGGAAACACTATGACTTCAGTAATAAGTAAAAAAATAGGATATGTTTCACAAATTAACGCTGAAGACTGAATAGACCAAGCCTGTTTTTAGATATTAATGTAACGTCTGTATTATATAACCTTCTACTTTAAACCCAAGACAAACTCATGTTTACCTCAGTGCGGCTCGTAGTTGTTACCATGGTTGTTACATACTGGACCTTCTTCTTCTTCTACTGTTTCTTATCGCCCTCCGTCGTCCATCTGGTAACCTGCCAACAGGAGGGCGCTAAAGGAGGGATCAAAAGACTCAAATCCAGTAAACTCGGCAATAGTAAATAAATTATTTAGAAAACAATAGAGTGACTGTAACTCTAACAGCTCAGCACGTTTTCAAAAGGTTTTTCAATTAATTTAATACATTAAAGGTGGGGTATGTAATTTATTTCAGAAGAACTTTTTGTTATATTCCATGGAATGCTCTTAACATCCTGATAGCAATGAATATATTAAATGCTTTGACAATAAATACATTACAAAAATGCATCTGTGGAAGCCGTAGAGCTGTAAAAAGCACGACCAATCATTTTAGCCGGCCCGGTGTCGGTACCATATGTGTTCGGGGTACCATACATAGATATATATAAACATATATAGATTAGACAGCTATATGCCATACATTTTTGCACACATTCACAGTAAATATGTATTCAGTATGATAGCTGTCTAAGTTAAATCCATTTCTCACTTATTCTGACAATGTACTTAACCCCAAATAAAAGAACCCAATAAAAAGAGTTGTTAAATAATAGTGAAGTCACGTTGTAATAACAATAACTCATCTCTCTCTCTCGTTTTATTTTTGAGCTTTGCCAAAAGCCACTGTGTCAATGTTGTCCTACTTGGATTGCCGTCCGGAGTTGTCCAATATGGCGGACCATCCCGCACATGCGCACTGCAGATCGGGCAGAGCTGCAGATCGGGTAGTGACAGGGGCTCTGTAAGGAAATGGCAGTTTTTTACTGCGGTCAAGCCAGCCGTCTTTCACTTTTGCGTGGTCAAACCGGTCAAACCAGCCGCCCCTGTATTTCGAGTGCGCGATTAGTTACAGGTTTACGGTAATGCAATGAAACAACCCTGGGAAGCTGGATTTCAAAGTAAAGGATGGCATGTGGTTCATTTGTATTATTTGCGATTGAGGAACAGGGTAATTTATGAGAATATTGTTAGGATTTATTGCTTCATAAACTTGTTGCACAAATACTATGAACTACTTTTACTGTGTACTTTTTGAGAATGGCAAAATTCCCTCCAGAGAACAAGAAGGAGCATTTTCGTCTAATTTGACGTGGGATAAAAAACATTTCTTCCATAAGTAGTTTATGAAACTGCCATGTTTGTACTTAATACTTCTAGGACTACTTGCAAACATAATATGAACTACTTTTACTGTGTACTTTTTCAGTAATTTGAGTTTCAAAGTCCTCTCCAGAGAACAAAAATGAGCATTTTTGTCAACTTTAATGTGGTCTAAAAAAACATTTCTTCCATAAGTAGTTTATGAAACTGCCATGTTTGTACTTAGTACTTCTTAGACTACTTGCAAACATAGTATGAACTACTTTTACAGTGTACTTTTTCAGTAATTTGAGTTTCAAAGTCCTCTCCAGAGAACAAAAATGAGCATTTTTGTCAACTTTAATGTGGTCTAAAAAACATTTCTTCCATAAGTAGTTTATGAAACTGCCATGTTTGTACTTAATACTTCTAGGACTACTTGCAAACATAATATGAACTACTTTTACTGTGTACTTTTTCAGTAATTTGAGTTTCAAAGTCCTCTCCAGAGAACAAAAATGAGCATTTTTGTCAACTTTAATGTGGTCTAAAAAACATTTCTTCCATAAGTAGTTTATGAAACTGCCATGTTTGTACTTAGTACTTCTTAGACTACTTGCAAACATAATATGAACTACTTTTACTGTGTACTTCTTCAGTAATTTGAGTTTCAAAGTCCCCTCCAGACAACAAGAATGAGCATTTTTGTCTAACTTTGGTGTGGGATAAAAAACATTTCTTCCATAAGTAGTTTTTTAAACTGCCATGTTTGTACTTAATACTTCTAGGACTACTTGCAAACATAATATGAACTACTTTTACTGTGTATTTTTTCATTAATTTGAGTTTCAAAGTCCCCTCCAGACAACAAGAAGGAGCATTTTCGTCTAACTTTTCATAAACTACTTATGGA